AAAAAAAAAAAAGTGGTAAAAAAACTGGGTAAGTAAATAAATCTAAGCAGTACATAGTTCTCATGTCACGAGTTCTATTTCAGCAATATCTAAATTACAACAATAGCGACATAGAATTTCATCCACGTTATATTCCGACCCTGTTTTAACTGACTACAGAAGCTTCAAGTAATTGTGACTCTATTTGTGACAATCAACTGCTTGTTATCCGAATCTTTAGAAAAACTGTCTTTCGAAATTCTAGAATCTTCTTTTTTACAAGTTGTGCATTAAAATTTCAATAAAATATACTTCTCAAATTAAATTTCCTGGTAGTTTATGCCTGTAAGTAATTTATTTTGAAAATGAACACTTTACAACAGTCGTTCAAATTTCAAAAAAAAAAAAAAAAAAAATTAGAATATGTTTTAATATGTATTCAAAAGTTGAGCAAAAAAAAAAAAAGAAACAGCTTACTGTAAAAGACAGTCAAGGGATATCAAAAACTAATCTTTAATAACCAATATTAAAACGAATATAACCTACGTGACACATTCCTCACAACAAACTTCGTGAATCCTTCTGCAGCGACATTTGAAGAACTTAAATGTTCGTTTATTCTCTGAAGTTGACGAAACACTTACTAACATCATTGTTTGAAAAGTTATAAGTTCAGGCTGGTTGAATAAGCAAAATTAAAACAGGAAGCAATATTTTATGAAACTAACAATAAATCCTCCGTCCATCCTAAATGTTTTGCTTTCTCTTTTCTCACTTTTTGAATAGTTTTGATGTTTTCCAGGAAGCAATGCTGATTTTGCAAAAATATCATGAATAGACAGCAGACCTGTACAGCTAAGAATCAAACATTTTAAGGTTTTGTTAAACCATTGTTTTAAAAATTACGAAAATAAGACAGCAAAAAAAGAAAAGTAAAGAAAAGTAACTGTTATTTCAAACTGAATTCTAAGATGCCAGGTCTTGCGTAACGCTGTACACCTTTTTTCAATTTGCAAAAAATAGCACTTCTAAATTCTCATAAAACTTGTGAAATATGAGATTTCTAACCGAAGTTGGAATTCTGAATTGCAACAGTAAGAAGAAATATGTTGGAACAAAAGCGCCGCATAACGTCAGTTATTAAATGAAATTAATAGAAGACTTTAGTCAGAACCTGAAGAAACCAGTTGTAAGAGTCTCTGATCCGATTTTAATTTATTTCTTACAGCAATATCACAATTTTCAGAAAATCGGCTAAGCAAGAAAACTTTTTCTACTATTATTATATCTTGAGTAGAATTATTATAAAAATACAGTCAGCAATCAACAAACGGGTTTAACTTTGCGGTCGAAAACAGAGTACATTTGATAAAATAGTTTGAAGCTGATTGAAGAAGATGAGAGTATAAAAGAAAAAGAACAAGAATAAACTCACAAAAATTCACTGTTTTCGCTAGAATTGTTATAACTTAGTAGCAAATTATTTGTCTCTAACTTTAATTTTAGCTTTTTCAATGAAAACTAGCAATTATATGACTTTGAGCCTAAATTGTGCTGTAAATAAAAGTAATGAAAAGTTGATTTGCAACGGTAATCAAGCAGAATAAACAACAACTTACATTGGTAAGCAAACAGTTTTTTAATCTTGGTATTAATAATTTTTTACAAAATGGTTCCCAATATGAATTTGTAGTGTTCTGACATGTAGAAGATAATTAAAGAGGGCTACCACAAAAAAAAGCTTAGCAGGCTACAATTTTAAATAATAACATGTTTTTTACATGATTTTTTAACTATTTTCACAGTTACTATTGTTGAAGAAGAGTTACAGTCATAACGTCAATTTCTAGATTCAATCTTCCAGCTTCTAGTTTTGTGTGATATTTAGAAAAGAAGTAACCTTCATTAATAAGTCCCTTGTCAGGTTTTACAAACAGCGATGAGGCACTGTTACTCTCTGAAAAACATTTGCATGTTGGAGAGCGTGCAGAATTTTTGCATAGTACTTTTTGGCTTCTAAATTTCTTGATTTTTTTTTTCTTGCAATAACAAAGCTACTCTTGTATTCGCAATTTTAAATTGATTATTGTGCCTCTTGTCTCAGTGACTAGTTTAAAAACAAGAAAAGAACTTGTTAAAATAAAAGAAAAAAAAACAGGATTTGTTTATTGACCCGATCCAATGTTACCTTGACAAAGATATCTTTAAATATGACATATATCAAACTCTTTTGAACTAAATTTAGTATGAAAATTTGTTTGATTTGCTGTCCAGCTTTATTAATACACCATTTCTTCTAATAATTATTAATAATCGTCTGCTAACAACATTATTATCAAGAATGAAAACAAGGCTGCAGTTATACAGTTTTATTCAATGCTCTGTTTCAAACAAGAAATCAGATTTACTTCTGTAAAAGACTCTTGATAATGTTCAAAAATCTATCGTTCTCGAATTTTATGCTCTTTTTATTGACTTTCTGCTATAGCCCAGAAGCCCAAGGAGATCAGCTACAGTCGTAACTGAAACAACAAACAGCAACCAAATTTATGTTCAAAGAAATCCACTCTAAATTGGTATAACAATATACAGATAAATCTTCTGTAAACTTTTCCATATGTTCTTCCGAGACCTGTTTCAGAATTTGAGAAAGAACAATGACTCTCGTCAATTTTTACAGAAGTTAAACAGATGCAAAAAGTCAAAGATGAATATGAAAATTGTTTACAGAATTAATCAATTTTTCTTATTCAAGTTCAACAAACTAAAATAACGTAAGAATTTAACATCATTTTTGCTTGATAAATAGAATATAAATCACTTTCTGTTCAGTTTAGCAGTTCGTTAGTTTCCTTCCTTTTATCAAGTTTTACACTCCACAACAATAGCATTTTTAAGAGCAATTAACGCAATTTTTATTAGTTTAAACAATACAACTGTATTTGGTTTGTTGAGTCACTCAACTAATATAACAGAGGTTATGTCAAATATTCGTCAACTTCTTCGCTTTTCAATGAATCCTCAGCTGATTTAACGACTGAAAGTTGTGATCCGCCATCATTGTCTCCCACGTCACTGCTTCCGAGATTTTGCAAAGCTGCAAAACTGCCTCTCAGTGTCGCAGTCGAAACTCTTTCTTGACCAGTTTTGTCAAACTCTCTTAAGCCACCTGTATATTCGCTATCTTCTTCTTTGCTAAGATAGACTTTTCTTGCAAATGCTGCATTTTTAAACGCTTCTAAACAGAAACTCTCAAATGCATAGCATTCTTCTGTACTTGTAAGCCTCTTTGCCATGTCAGTTTTACCCAACTCGTCACACACCACGGCTTCTTTCTGAAGCTCATGTCTCGGGCTCCCAGCTGTTTGAGCTTTAGAAGTAAGACCATTTTTAAGACCGTTTTCAGATAGGTCTGCATCACTTGATTCTGTACGCTCAGAATCTGCAATGTCACTAATCGCATCAACTTTTGGACTTCCATAGATAAAGCGATTAGAAATTCCACTTAATATAGCACGGTTTACTTCAGCCTCAACGTCTCCAAACCCTGGTTCGTCGTCACTCCTGTATTTTTCGACATATACAAACATTAACCAACCAAATAATAATAGACAGCCAACTGACAGCATGAAATCGACAATAATCAGATCTTAAAAATGAAAAAGTTTTAGAGCATAAAAAAATTTTTGAAAGGAAATAAAGTTTTAAAATAAAATATGCTATGAAGCAAATTTTACTTCAGCACAGTTGGGAAAGTAATGAGCAGCAAGGTGTCCAAAATCATTCAGCCCTGGTCAATTCTCTTCCTCCGCTCCAGTACACTGGAAACTTATGACCTGCTTGAAAATTTTTTTATCGTAGCTTTACTTTTAGAAAAGCTTAGGAGCCTCTGTTTGTAATATTTGCATGTCTAAATTCAAATTTGCGTGATATGCGACAAAAGAACTAAAGCAGACAAAAAAGCAAGCTTTCTACTGTTTATCTGACATTGTCAAAGGAGATTTTCAGAGATCCAACTTTAATAGGATAATTGTGCACCTGCATCATCAATATGTGACTTGCTTCTGCAGTTCTCATGGCTTAAAGCAATGTTTCTCAGCTTTCTTTTGATCCGCTTTCTTTTCTCAAAAAACCTTTATTTTTGCACTCCTAAGGCACTTCCTCTATTTGCTTAACTACCAAATAAAAAAGCGGTAGGTATGAAACGGTGCAATCGGGTTTAGATGTAAACTTTCTTACAAACATCACAGCAAGCGTTGGTCATAACATTTTTCCTCTGTGACTTAAAAGTTGGTCTAGTATTGACTGATAGTTATTGCCTTGCTCTCACTTGTTCAAATTGACCAAACAAGTTATCAATCTTAAAAACTAATAATTCAGACTTCTAAGTACAAAAGAAGATAAATTACCTGCAGGTGCATAAACTTTGTCGGTTTCTGCATAATCCTGAATTTTTCGGATATGCCGTTTGGCATTAGAAATATTTAGGAGTTGCTCAATCTAAAGAAGTAGCAAACTAATAGTTTGGCCTTTGAAAATCGAGGTGGACAAAAGCTACTTATTTCTTAAACAGACAGACCTGTGCATCTCTTTCATAGAAGCCACGTGCTAAAATAAAGTTTTTAAATAAGCAGAGTCGAAAATTGCTCTTTTTGATACTGATAGCATACCACTGACTTTTTCTTGACATATACTAGCAAACTTTTATGGTTACTGATGACTCAAAAAACAAAAGGTTTTTTGCAACGTATCGTTCTAACCTCAAAAAACTTTTTTCTTTATTTTTAGACAACTTTTTTCTAACCTGGCAGTGAGCAAAAGCAGTAACTTTTGCCTGTTGCCAGATTACACGATTTTCAATATTGAGTAGAGAAGGAATGCTTAAGTGTCATAAATAATTAAAGTACAGTTAGTCGTTAGCAAAGAAATTCAATCTTGTTGTGGAAAGGATGAAGGCAAAAGGTTGTAACAGTAAGACTGTTTAGACAGTCTTTCAATAAGTACCAAATATCTTTCAGCAAGCCATATTGCAAGAAAATTTTTGGCTTCTGGCGATGAAGCAGTCATAGTTGAACGCAGTAACGCTTGTTTCTGATGAATCTAAAGATAGTTAGAAAAAGCTGGTTTATTATTTAGTCTGTGACGACTATAGGAGTTCTTGTGAAAAACTTACGTACTGCGAATCCACCCAGGTCACGCAATGACTCTTCTAATTCCTGAAACTCAGACTTTTGTGATACACGTTTCCGTACATTACTACAATGTCTTCCAGATGTTAAACAGCATACTTTCAAAAAAAAACTTGATGACGCTTTCTCAATCTGACTTTTACTTGAAGTGTTTTCTGACATTCCAGATAAAGAATGATTTAGAATAGAAGCTTTGCTCAGACTTTCAACCTACAAAACTCTTGAAACTAACTGTGTGCTTTTTCATATAAAACCACTTAACAAGCCTGCATAAAACTACATTAATTTACTTCAAAATTTTAAGAACCTTCTCGCGAACAGAATAGCTACTGTATCTTCATTCACTATAGAATCTTGCGAACAACAAAGCTACCGTGTCTCTCCCATAAAACACCTAAATTTTTTCCTCAAATTAATAAGCGAGTGCTTTAATGCCAATAGAAAAATGAGCTTTTAAAAGTTCTAATAAGCTGTGTAAAAAAAGTGAAATTTTATATATTTATTTTTTGCTCGTTCACTACTCTAGAGGTAGAAGAATCACTTAAATTTTCTTTCTTTCTACAGATTACAACGAAAGGCAGATAAGAAGTTATTGCAAAAATTGTTAGTAAGTTTGAGCACACAAATTTATGTCTGCTGCTACTGCAAAAACCTGCAGTGTAAACATCAGAGAGTATTCATATTGTGTTAGTAAAAATGCTCGTTTATCACAGAATGCCTAGAATTAGGACGTACTCCAATACTGCATCATACTAGGCTGACAATTTTGGTGCTAAACTGTATAATGAAAACTCCGAAAAACCTCATTGCAATAACTTGTTGGCTTTTTTTTTTCTGTAATGGCTTTCAAAACCAGAGTCGCCATTGTCGCGACCATACGCAAAATAACTACTTTACACTATGAGGTTATCCGCTGCTGCATGTTCTCTGAGGAGAAGCTCTCAGAGAGACAGCAAAGGGGATCACTACAAACGTAGGACAGGTGTATAAATAGAGAGTGAGGCTTTATTGAGGTTTTTGTTTTTCTTCATT